CTGAGCCAAGTTATGTTAAACTACACACAGGAATGGCCAGGGAGGGGGAGGTAAACAGTGTTACATGATCTCCTGTTATTTGATCGGTCTCAGATTCTTTAAATGTTCTGCCCCCCATATCCTAGGACCCTCCCTCCCTCAAACACTAGTAGAGATGGAATACAAGTTTATTGTTTGATTTTGAGAAAATGAGTGTTGGTGACATCTGGCAGAGCTTTCAAAGATCTTCCCAAATGCCAGTGAAAGCTTCTCTCCATGTCACTTGTTATCGTAACCACTCTGCCTGGCCATCATTGTGTTATGTTAAGTAGCGAGTCTGCTTTCTGTCTGTGGCTCTTTCCCCCTTGGGTTTCAATTCCAAACATGGTTATCCTTCTCATGGTCTCTACCCCCGCCTCTCCTGCTCCATGTTTCCAACAGTCTTCAGTCCAGTGTGGTCAGGGATCAGAAGCAGATACATTATAGGGCTGAATTTTTAAAGGAAAAGTGAGTGTCAGTGGAACTGAATGGAACGGAATAATGAAGCTTCCTTCACTCCAGCTGTTTCTGGCAGTAAGTGGTGCATTGACTGTTAGAGGCTGCAGGGAACACTCTTTTTGAATCTAATATCTAGCCTTTTTAACAACCTTTTTACTACATTGGGCTTATAAACCACTACTTTTTCCATCAAGGTATTTGATGAAACCTTTTTTATATATTAAGTATTCCGTTGAATTGGAGACAGCAGAGGCACAAACATGAATAGTGGAAACTTTATTGACACCATAATTTACAATCACACAATCTGCAATGGATGGACCAACAGCACTGAAGGTGCCATCTACCATCTGGGTAACACCATTCTTTTTTTGGGCTATATGGGTGGTAGTACAGCATATGGGGCTCTGTACATCTTCAGTTTTTTGGCTCCCGCTTTCCTCTGTTTGGCTATGTGGGGCTGGCTGACGGTGTGTGGCCTTGATGTCTTCATCTGGAACCTGCTGCTGATGCTGCAGTGTTTGGCCCAGGTGTGTCATCTGATTTTTCGGCTGATGCAGGAAGGTTTAGCCAACGAGGAGCTTTCTGCGCTTTACACAGCGGTCTATCTGCCACTGGATGTACCTGTGCAGGTGTTCAAGGAGATCACGGCTGCCAGCGAGAACAAAGTTCTTTCTTTAGCGACCGAGGAGACGTATGCTGTGGAGGGGAAGACGCCCATTGATCAGCTGTCTTTTCTCATTTCTGGCAGGTGAGAAACAGAATATATCAAAGAGTTGTAGACATATGGTTCTCTCTCTATTAGTGGTTGATCTTGAACTGGTCTAAACACTGTAAATATCTGCTTTTGTACCTAAAAGTGTACCAACGTCAATGTTTGTTTAAGCTCGCAATACAAGCTGTGCATTCTGAGTCGTCCATTTTGTAAAAAATAGCACAACATTTTTTGGGGTCAATGTTGGATGTTTTTTGTCCTTCCTAATAAATAATGAAGAAAAAGCGTCAGTAGTAGTATTTCAGCATAAACTTTTATAATATTAAATATTTTGATAAAACTACTTCACTGTGGTGAATAAAAAACAAACAGGCAATTATATCAGAGAGGACCCCTGCAGACCCTCATGACTGTTAAGGTCAATAAAGGCCCGTTCACTCCAAGAACAATAACTATAAAGATAACTATAACCAACAATATTGGCACTCTTTTTTTTATAAGTGAATGCTGCAGTTGTCGTCTGCATAAATTCTACAGTTCTGTAAAGCAGGGTGGATTCTAGGCTGCCAAATGTTTTTTTTTATCATTCATCAGCTCCCGAAAAAAAAAAAAAAAAAAACGTCTTGAAAGTGACTCACCAGTTACTTTCCTTTGTGCCATTCTCATTATAGTTGAGGTTTGGACGCTGCTTTTTCTTTTATGTAGAATGATTTGTATAACCATATCTTTATGGTTTTAGTTATAGTTATTGGAGTGAACAGGCCTTTAGTCTCTTAAAATCTCAGATAATTTGACATAACAAATTATGTCAAAGAAAGATTAGTTCAGGTTGTTAAATGTCATGGTGAAACCATGAATTATTAATTAATATGTGTGATATTTATCTTGAAATTAAAAGCTTTGTCAAAAATAATGATTTGTACTCTTACATGTAAGGTTAAAATAAGGGAGAGAGAGAGAGACAGACACAGACAGACTTGGCTCTATCCATCAGTTGTTGATTGGATTTTGAGATATGGGAATTCCTCTCAAAAAAAAATGTGAGCTTGCAGTTAGTTGTGGAGGGGTGCAGGGGTGGCGTATTTTTGTAGGACAACCCGGACTTTAGCATCACACTGGTTCCCTCAACAAAAACCCAATAGTATTTTTTCATTGACTTTTGGATTATTGCAGAAAATAAGGTGTGTGGAGACTATGGAATGGGAAGTGGTAAAATGTGAACTTGTTTCTGGGTTTTAGCCTACAAAACGTACGTCATCCCTGCATCACTCTATGATTGGAGAAAATCTGGCACACGTCACCAGAGAGAAGTCCGTCGTTTCAACTGAAGATTCAGTTATATGCCATTTTGATTAAACGTTGAAGGGTAAAAACATTTTTAAAAATCCTTGGATCAATAAGATCAATAACATGCATTTATAAAATAGGCAAATTTTAATTTCATGCTGACTTTAAGCTTATTCAAAAACATATGAAACCAACATCAATATAAAAAGGGCACTTCTACATGACACATGTGTTTCTGCTATTACAGGATTAGAGTTTCCTTAGAAGGTCAGTTTCTCCATTACATCTTTCCTCACCAATTTCTTGACTCTCCTGAATGGGAGTCTCTAAGACCAACAGAGGAGGGCAACTTCCAGGTATGAAAACATACTGGTTGCTTGGGTACATCATGGACCATGCAACATCTTGTATCAGTGTCATTTTGCTAAATTATTCAGTTCATGGAACCATGAAACATTGCTTGCCCTTAAACATCCCATGACCCTTTTTACCTCAGGTGACACTAACCGCAGAGACTGACTGCCGTTACATCTCTTGGCGCCGGCGTCGGCTTTACCTTCTGCTGTCTAAGGATCGTTACATTGCTCGACTTTTCTCTGTCATGCTCGGAAGTGATATTGCTGACAAACTGTATTCTCTCAATGATAAGCTGTTTGCCAAGAGCGGTGTGCGCCTTGATATTCGTCTGCCCAGTCTCTACCACGTCCTTGCCCCCTCGTCACAGGGCAGTGAGGGTGGCAGCACTAGCTCACCGCCCAGGACAAGCCAAGGAGATCCTACAGTTGTGAAGGTTGATCCAGCACCATCTAATCAGCGCTCAGATGGAAGAAACTTCCATCCGGACCAAGGAAAGACCCCTGTACCCAAACCTCCACACCAGCTCTGGCCCTCAGACACAGAGATGCCCTCTGGTGAGGACTCAACCAGCTTGGTTCTGGACGACTTTGCTGATATGACAGGCTCTCTTATGGATTACGGGAGTGAAAGGGAATATTTGAAGTAAAAATTGGGGGTTTGAAGCATAACACACTGGAACACTTCTTAAATCACAATGTAAGTACACAAGTAAGGATTGATGGGTGGGTCTGTATATGGATGGGGCTGGTTTGCATGAAGAGGCACAACTGCACTTACTGGACATTTGAGCTGCACAACCACTGACTGATTAAAAGAATGCAGAGTGATGAATGTGCATGATGAATTGTTATATTTGGTTCTCTTTTTAGACCTGGATTGTATTTATGTCTTAAGTGTCATCTGCTGAATTCAAATGCAACATTCATTCATACATAGGCCTAGTGATTATTATATTACATTGAAAATTGAAAGATGTCTTCAAAGGTTAAAAAGGTTTGTTTTTTTTTCCTTTAAAATGAATTTCCCTTATTATTATATTGATAAACTTTAAATTTAAAATTGAATTATAATTAAAAAAAACTTTAAAAGATGAAATCTAGTCAAGAAGACTAATAATATTCATGTTAGTCAGATATTGGTTGTGTCCAAAATGCCCCTATACCCTCATATCAATATCAAATTTATTTCTAAAAAACACAGTTCCAGTTGTAGGATTGAATGTGAGATTGAATAAGTGCACTCAATAACATCCACAATGGATTCAGACACCCAAATATCTGTTCCCTCAAATAGTCCCCTATTTAAAGTTTTTTGGCTTTTAGCATGAATATGTTAGCATTACTGTTATCTGTAAACTAGTGTGCTTCAAAACAATTAAAAAATTCACAGACCAAACCAAACATTTAAAATGAAAATTTGGGTTGATGTCAGAATCCAACGCCAGATTGACGTCAATCTCCAATGTATTGTGTATTTCATTTGAAAATGAAAATCGTGCTTATGTCAGAAATCAATATCATTCGGGTTCTGACATCAACCCGACTTACATTTCCAACCAAAATCAAATGTCTGTACGACGTTGGATGTTGACGTCAATCAAACGTTGGGTTCTGACGTCAACCAGACTTTCATTTCCAACTAAAATGCAAACCCTGCAACCAAACTGACTTTACTACTTTCTACTCAACGACTTTGACAGAAATGCAGCGGAGTAAAAAATTACAATATTTGCTACACTTGTGTAGCTTGTGTATTGGCTACACTTGTGCCGGAGGCTGGATGAAAGACTGGAAGGGGTTTGGGATATCCAGGGATCCAAACATGCCAAGTCTGTTCATCCAGCAATCCAGCACTCCTCCCTCTTCAAATTCTTGGCTTTGCCTGCAAGGGGCAGATTGCATTTTGTAGTGTACTGGATAGTGGGACGGGTGTAGGAGGAGGAGAGCTCCGCTGTCATTTGAGACATGACCTTCACATGCTAGTTTCCAAAGGAATGAGGTATATGGATCATGTCCAGAAATACAGCCTGCCCTACCGAAACCAATGTGAGAACTACACCAGTGGATAAAAACATGTCTTTAAATGTGATTATGTTGTGCTGAATTGTGGAATTTATTTCAGTGTTCTCTATGACATTTTGATATGCAATCTTTTTCCAAAAATCTAACAGACGATGATACTCAAGGAAGTCTTCCACTTCGTTTCCAAAGAGGACGTGCGCCACTGGCCCCTACTGACACCCCAAAGCTATAGGAATGGTTTCAGCAGCATAAAGGCTAACATTTGAGCGAATTCTTCATTAAATCACCATCATAGCGGTTTACTTTTATATGATTGAAGACAACTGTAGCACAGGACCATAAAAGAACCATCAAATGTACTTTTGTTTAGGACAAAACAGAATCACAAACCTTTTTTTTCAGACAGATACTGTGTTTTATATGATTCCAACGCATTCTCATCCTTTAGCAACATGGCTGTCATAATTATTCGAAATGGCATGTGCTTGTTGGTTAAATCTGTTTTGAATACTGTGCCGGTTAAAAGCAATAAATTAGACTTTTCAACACAAACAAATCAATTTTTATTTAAAATTGAACACCTCAGAGTTGATTGATAATAGGTAGCCTATATATATTAAATGAGATTTATTACAAAAGTGTGTGCTTTATCATAACAGGAATTTAGTAAACGCTTCATCATCATGTATTGAGACTGTATACTGACCATGTTATGAAAATGTATTTTCATGGGGCCAACTGTTAATTGCTGGGTTAAAATGTGACTTGATATTCCTCTTAAGATGCCATTTCAAAGCAGAGATTAGCCTTATTACTAATTGTGAATGGACAGATACTAATTTGCAATATCAAGTATGCAGTGTGCAGTTAAAAAAACTAATGTGCCAAAACATCCACAGTGCCAAAATATAGAATTTTTGTACCTTGAATATATATTTTTAATAATTGAAAATGAACTAGTACGTTCAGCACATATATTAACACACAAAATAACTGATGTATGTTGAATGACCGACTTCCATAATTCACAATGTTTTTGTTGTTGATTGTTGTCTAACAAAACTAAACAGAAATTCAGGTATGTTAAATTCCTCTCGATTGAAATTTCATTATAACACTCTCTGGAACAGTGAACATAAAAACAAAAGAATCTGTTAAAAATATATATTTGTGTGTGTGTGTGTGTGTGTGTGTGGAAAAAAAATATTTTGTGAAAACACAATAAATATATCTAATGAAGCATTTCGGTCCCCTTGTATCCTATTTATGTCTTATTTGCCAAGCTTTAATGTCTCCTAACCTAAACCTGCTAAAAAAGTTTTAGTGTGTGACCTTCGCTTGAAAGTTGGTTAATATATAAGCTCTCTTAAGTAGATTTTTGTGTTGTTTTATTAATTTAGCACACTTGTACAAAGTCGTGTGACCATGATACTCCCCGTCCAATATGAATGTTCTTCACACATAATGGATCCAACCCTCTGCACACAGAGCACAAATACAATGTTATTAAAAACAGTATTACATTGGATGTGCACATGTGATGTCTAAATCTAAATAGTGTGTAATTCCTGAAATAAGTGTGCAAAAAGAGTAAAGCAAGTTTAAAGGCAAATTTTAAAGCTGCATTTACCTGGTGTGAGGGACTTCAGAGATGCATATATACTCAAAATGAACGTCCCCTTGTCTGGTGAATCGTGCTCCTATGTTTTTCAGCTGCACTGAGTCAATTTTACACAGTCCCTCCGGGTGTGCAGCCACCGCTTTAAAAGCAGTTTCAGCTGCATTTCTGAAAAATAGTGTACAAACATATTCACACACGTTTTAAACAGTTAAAGGACTGAACCTGTAATAAATCAACACAGGCTAGCTCTGGTAAAATTCGAAATGGAGTTCACACACAGTTTGAGCTTTATCTCTGTCTCAGGGTGTCCTGTAGAGATCAGGGTGAGCTGAACCTCAGCAGTCTTGTCTAATGGGGAAACCTTCAAATCCACAAGGATGTGATGCGCTGAAAAAGATTATGGGCATTTATACTGTAACATGTCATTGACACAACACATCATTTATTTACTGTTATATGGCAGTATAGTTTCTATTGATTTCACTAAGCCTGTAGAGACTTTTACTTTTTATTTTTTGGTGACTGTATTCTACCATTCAAAAGTTTGGGTTCAGTAATAATGTGTAATAATGTAGCTATTTTATTCCTGTGATGGCAAAGCTGAAATTTCAGCCTCATTACTTCAGTCTTCAGTGTCACATGATCCTTCAGAAATCATTCTGAATCATTCTGGCTGATTTGCTGCTCACAAAATCTTCTTATTATCAATGTTGAAAATAGGTGTGCTGCTTTATATTTTTGTGGAAACCATGATCTATTTATTTCAGGATTATTTGTAGAATAGAAAGTTCAAAATAACAGCTTTTATTTGAAGTTGTTGATAGTGTAGGTGTTTAAAAAGTAGACAACAGGATGTGTTAATATGAAAGACTGTTTAAGTATAATTAAAACATAAATCAAGGTGTTAATACATGCAGTTTCTGAGTGACATATACCACAATACGGCGGCGTAGCAGTGGTCAGGAGATAGACCCTCTTTTGATCTGGCAGTGGAGTAGCTGTTATCCCACTGTTCTTTAACAAACCTAAAATACACACACATATAGAAACAGTCACATTTGTTTCTTGAGAGCAATAGTGAAATCCTTTTGTTGCATAGCTAATTAGCCTCAAATGAAACATTTTCAGCAGTTGGAGTCACTCATGCACACAAAGAAAAAGTCAAGCCTGATTAAACACCTAAATGAACTAGAACATCAAGGTCATTACCATCCAAAATTAGATTAGCATGCAACCCCCCTCAGAATTATTTTTCACATTTTCACTAATTGAGGACATGCGTGTGAACCATGGCCATCCTCCTTATGAAGACTCATCTCATCATTCAGCAGAGTCTTTGAACTACAAAAATGTTTGCGCATCAGGGTTATTTTAGTAGCTAATGTTGATTTAATCAAATTCAAAGGCTACAGGTTTTATTCACTTTTAAGAAACAACTTTTTTAAACATATTTTTGTGTTCACAAACAGACTTAAATATTTAAAATATTACCTATTTGTGGGCATGTGCCATTGAAGGGTCCCTCACAGGTGATGCATTTTCCTGCCAGGAATTCCTCATAACTGGAGCAGGGGAAACCAACAAGCAGACAGGAGCCGTTCAGGGCGCTCATGTAGACATGCAGTGCCCTCATGTGGTCACAAATGACATAGCCATACACTGGAAAGTAGATAAAAACTGACAACATAGACGGATTCTCAGGTAGCATGTAGCTACGGTACATTTTATAAGCTTAATAAGCTTAATTCCTCTGTTAGTGTTTGGTCAGCTTTTGCTACTTACTTGAAGCAAACTTTGAGCGTGCACAACCGGCTTGGTCCATTCCACCATTTAAGAAGAAATCCACATGTCCGACAGGAATGGATATTCCAAAGTCTAGCAAATGTACAATTTTTCAGTTCATTTGTGTTATAGGCTACTTCTGTATTAAAAAAATATTAACCTTTGTAGTTTAATTATAAATCAAGAAAATGTCCTGTTTAATATTAGACAGCGTTCTAAAATAAATGAAAAAAGATTTACAGTCTGAGTCGGTGTGAATGGCCTCAACAAACAAGGCATCAGATGAATCCAGACGGTCATATGGATCAGCACCCTTAAACATGGGTCCTGCTGGGTCCAGACCTGTGCACACAAAACTCATGTACAGTATGTTCTGTATGAAACAAATTATTCATCATAGGCACTTTTAGGATTCTGCATAAACACATTACAAACTTTAGTTAAAACTTTCAAACAATATCTTGTTTTCTCACCAAGGTTGTGTGGTGTAACAAAATATCATTGTTTATTTGGAGTGCACTCATGGCTTCTGCTTTTGTCTGAAAGACTCTTTTCAGTGTGGTGCAGAGTTGGTCTTTGTTCCACTCATAAAGTCTAGCTAGCATCTTCATATCAGGAAAAAATTAACAGCCTATACAGTCCTAACCGTCCTATGGCAGGTTACATAATTGCATTACACAAATCTGAAGCGATTATGTAGATTAAGTTCTGTAGACAAATGAAAACCTGTTTTTTATAGTTTGATAATTATATTATTTATTAATTATATATATATTATATATACAAATTTATATTTTCTTTAATAATATATATAAGCCTGTAAGTTGTAACATATAGAAGTTGTAAATAGTGTAATTGAGCACAATTATGATAAATTGTAATAGTCATGTCTAATGAAATCATTACGGCCAAAAACACAAATAAAATTATACAGTACACAATAGGCTATTTACTTGTGATTTAGCAGAAATCATGCAAAAACGTTAGAAGCCAGCAAACGCGATAGGCAACTTTATTATTATAAAGTAGTTTAACACTTGACATGTAGTTATTATTATTAACCAATTACCATCATCAGTAGTTCAGTAGACTGTGTAGTAACAGGGGAGTTACGGTTATTTACGACAGTGCAAGTACACCACAATGGCTCTAGGGTTCGCTGTTTCACAAAAACATCAGAGCTGCATAGTGTGCCTTTAATAACATTTGCTTTAATGACATTTTGAAGATTCTGATATATTCAATATGGTCTCTAATTTGATCAACTTATATTTCAATTTACTTTTATTTAGGAATTGAATTAAAATATTACCTGTGATTCGACCCAGCTTGCCTTCAAATAGGGTCCCCACAAATCCACACACATGTGCTCCAAGACTCACGCCGATGAAATGGAAAGATTCCAGTGTGCTTCCATACTTCTACAAAAGAACATCAGTGTACTTTAAATGTCATACTACTCTTTACAATGTACCTTCTGTGTGTTGACTGTTACTATTGATCATTGTGAACAAGTTTATTATATTATTCCTTCTGCCAGATGAACACAGAGGACTCTACAGCTGTGCAGCCATTTGTAGTGGTCAAGTCTTTTATAATGACTAATATGGATTCTATAATACTTTCATAATGAAAAAAATTACCGTCAGCTGATTGATAAGCACTGATATCTGCACTGCCACCTCCTTGTAGTTCTCTACTACCAAGTTATAAGCAAAGGAGGCTCCATAGACCCAGTCCACCACCAGAACGTTCACGTCCTCTTCCTGCAGTAGAGCCTGAGCTAAGCCACTCACCCAGGAAGGTTTACTGCCCATGGCTCTGAAACGCAGTACATTAAAGAATCATCTCTGATCATTCACATGGACTTCTTTCCAGTTACAACATGCTGCTGATTAAATGCTTCACCTGTATCCATGAACAATGACTTTAGTGGGGAGTGATGAGTTGAAGTAAGCCGTGTGTTTCTGGGTATGGTTGAGGCAATCCTGCGTGAATAGGCTGGCACAGTCTGCATTCTTTCGTGTAAGGAGAAGGTACTGAACCTGGAGCTTGGTGGCTTGTCTGTATTCCAGCCAGGTGGTGTTGTTGAAGTCAGCACACGTGGGTCGGGATGGTTCTTCATCACCTGTTTAGTTGTATGCATGTGAGAGCTCATGAATATCCCAAAAGGTAAAACACAGTTTTGAGATTTTAATAACCTATAATTGGTAGTTTTACCGGATTCCCCTGACACTGATTTCCCTGCAATGCCCAGATGTGCAAGTTTGACATATAGTTTGACATAATATTATAAGTGAAATATTATATATTGTGTATAGAAAAATTAGGAAGAACATCAAAAGATATTTTGGAAATTCACTTTGAAAGTTGAAAATTTTTTATTGAATTTAAATAAAAATATATTAAATTGCAGCCTCCAAAAGTGCAAGCTTCAATTTAAATTTATTTGTATAGCGCTTTTCACAATGCATATTGTTTCAAAGCAGCTTTACAGAAAGTGCATTTCAGAAATGTAAATAGAACATTTCTGTATTGCACTTTTCAATTCAACATTTATTTTTTTCATACCAATAATTTTGAACCACTGTAATTCTCAGTCTGCACCTTCAGATATTTTATAGAGGTCAAATTGTCTTTTTCAATAAAACAATAGATTAGTAAACATTTAAAAATCACTTATCAAATTCTGTATGCATTTACATTCACAATTGTTGATTTGTGAACCACTCACTGAAAAGCTTGAAACAACTTCAAGCAACTCCAAATAGAAGAGCTGTAGGCTACTCTTTTAAATACATTTGGGTGTGGTGCGTTCACATAACTGGCATGATAAAAAAATGTACAGAAAAATGATCTTACCCACAGCAGAGGTGACGCACACTAACAAATAAACAAAAGTTTTGCAAGCCATCCATTTCCAAGCCATGGCTTTATTGAGCAACCGTGCTAAATCAGCTGAGTGAGAAGTTTCTGCTGGTTAGATTCCTGTTCAAGTGCAAAATCGTTCTTTGACGTCAACTAGTTGCCTTAAGAAGCCTGGAATCCACCTAATAGCCAGCCTCAATCTGTTAATGACTGTTTCTGAGAAAAATGCAAGAATATCCGATTAAATGAGATGAAAAGCTTTTCCTTCCGTTCCCGGTGTGCTGTGAACCATGTCAGCATGTAAACCTGAGAGAAATTAACTCCATGCATCCATTCTGTGATAGCTTAGCTGGTGGTGACTTTGTATTGGACTACAACAATGAAAACAAATGATCAGTCCACTGGTATGCAGCTGTTTGAGAACCCATGACCTCACAGTCACAGATGAAATGTTTGATTGTTTATCCAGTGGCTGGACTCTGACCTCTTTAGCACAATGTAGAGGGCAAAACTCTCAGAAGGGTTTTAGATGAATTCAAGTGAAATTAACACAATCAGATGGCATCACTTGTTCAGACTCCCTCAAAAAGCTGTCTTCTGCAAAAGCGTAGTTTCTTAGAATATTACAGTTGCGATTGCTTATGTCATGATGTGGTTTTGTGTGTTTTCGTTATTAGTTATTCCCCGTCGATTATTTGTCCCAGGTGTTTCTTATTTCTCGCCCTCTTGTTATCTTGTCTAGCTCGTTTGTCCTTGATTATTTAAGCCCTGTGTTTCTGCCCTGTCTTTGTTGGTTGTTGAATTTATGTATGTGAACGTTGGTGTTTTTGAATTCTCGAGTTTTGCTTCAAGTATCCTGTTCCAATTTTGTAAATAAAGCTACACTGCGTTTGGATCCAGCCTCAGCTCTATTTCTCCGCACAGCGTCACACTTTAAGTGTTTTCTAAAGGACAGTATCCACTAGATGACTTTTAAAATCGAGAACGTTTAAATTCTAAAATATTCTAAAACTCTCAAAGATCCAACATATTTGTACCATCAACTCCAGATTGTAAAACGGGGCAAAAATTGAGTAGTGTAGTCCAGTCCTTAAATAAACATGGTCTGGACGCACGTCTTTGACTGCTTGTCACACTTGCCAAGCGCCAAATGAGAGTAAAATCTGTGTTGGCGAGTATATGAAATGGTGTCAATTGCTAGTTGGTCTGTAACATTTTTTATGAATTTTAACAATACAATGTTTTGAGAACGTGAACGACACTCTAGGCCCCGTCCACACTACTGCGTTTTCGTTTAAAAACGGAGAATTAAAACGAAAACGATCTCCGTCCACACTAGCGTTTTACCTGCGTATTAGAATTTATCTCCGTTCACACTAAAACGACTGAAAACGTGGATCACGTGACCATTCACCAACACTGGGCATGCGCGCGCCGGTGTAAACAGTGTTTGGCGAATCAGGGAAAGAAATGTCATGACTGATGACACCCAATCATAGAGCCGAGCTTTTGTGAACTCCTCCGTTTTGTCTCGTCCACACTAAAACGCCCTCCGGACTCCGGAGATGCAAAACACATCTGCAGCGTTTCTAAACTTCTCCGGTCTTCGTTTTTCCCGTTTTAGTGTGGACGGGAGGTGCAAACGTAGCAAAAGGTCTCCGTTTTTAAACGAAAACGCAGTAGTGTGGACGGGGCCCTAGACAGATGAGGGAACAATGAGGGGACAATGCAGCAAGGGAACTCACACATTAATTTCTCACACGCTGTGTGTATGGAAAGTGTTATGTGTGCACACATCCGAACCACATGCACATAAATCCGTGTCTCAGACAGTGTGCAATTTCCGAACACTGAATTGAGCTCTCTTTCATGCCTTTTTGCACTTTATATTCAAACAAAACTGTAAAAATTCCGTCTTGACAAGTATCCTCATAAACATAGTCAGTTTTGTCTTAAGTGAAAGCCAACATTTAAGAAAGAAAATGCATGTGTAAACTGCCTCCATGCATTAGCTTAAAGTGACAGCAGCTCAATATTCCTGCTGCTGTTTGTTTTTAATTTGAAACAAACCACAAAACACAAAGAACAAACACTCAATGATGGATACATTTTGTAACTTTAATAAGGATTAATCTAGATCCTTAATTTTTGGTAAATTTTTTAAAGCCGGTAATGTTCCTTAGTCACCAGCGATTCGCTGGTTTGGTCAGTTATAGGTCAGTTATAGGCCCTTGGTAGGCCTATGAATTACCACATTATACAGTAATTTGTTTATAATTCATTATTTGCAATCAAAATTAATTCACAGATTATGTAGTGCCTAACTATACTTTTTTTCTCTTTATTTCTGAAATTATTTTTTATTTTATTTTAAAATACATTTTGTTCATTCATTCAATAAAGCAATCATCTTTTGGAATGAGTAAAATAATTTTTTTCTTTATATGAATATTTATTTATATTTTTTGAGACAAGTGTAAACATAATATACAGTCATTTCCAAGTTGTTGTTTTTTATTATGTAAAACATTGATTATCCAAGTGTAGTTTATTTAACTAGACATCTAATGTTTTCTGCTCTAACTAGTAGGAAATATTACTATAAATCAACAGGCAGTACATGGCAAAAAAAAAAACAAAAAAACAAAAAAAAAAACAGGTGGCACAGTATTCATTAACATGATGTTAGTTTATTTCAAGTTAATTTGCTGTCTCTCTGTGGGTAAGACAGATGCTAGCCAATCGGTAGTGCGCTTGCGTGCCTCTTCCCAGTCATAATGTGGGCAATATCCGAAATCCCTGTGAGCTTTTTGATATGAGAAACTAAATGGTGTGTTTAACATGGTCAGTAACTGCCTATTTAAGGGTGGAGTGAACCTCAGGAAGGGTCGGAGCACAACATGCAGTAATTCCATGAGGAATGACAGAAGATATAGAAGTGGAAAGGGCAAAATGGGCCTTTCTTGTATCCCAAAGCCTAATGGTGAAAGAACAGCATAGTTGAAGTCAGAGTAGCTGACAGGTGGTGTGTTGTCTGAGATGTAATAGAAATTTCCACCCATTACGGCCCTTTTCTGAGGATCTCTGAGTGCCCGACCAGCTTGTAGATGTGCCAGGGCTGCGTTTCCCACGTATACAGGATTCACTTTTGCCTCCCGTCTTGATGTTCTCAGCAGCACGTTTCCATTGCGGATTCCATCCCTCATGTGGCCTAAAGTAAATCGACAGCCTGGTCCATAGATGTACATGGGCCGCAATGCACAAGTAGCCAGCTGGCCTCCATTGCGGAGCAGCTCTCCATTGGCCTGAAGGCAAATCTGTTCAGCCTCCTGCTTGGTTTTGCTGTAGCTAAACTTAAGACTGGGGGAGTAGGGGGTGTCCTCATCGCCGTTAATGATTGGATCACCGCGGCCATTGGGACCAGCCACCTCAATGCTGCTAGTATAAATGAAGGAGGCTACGTTTTCTTGGATGCAGGTCTCCAGCAGCAGTTGTGTTCCTGCCATGAAAAAAAAAAAATAATAATTAATTGCCTTTGAACCTCGTTATTACTATATTGTTTTGTGTTAGCATATTTTGATTAGTCAAAGTGAATCTTTTCTGGTTTCATTTGTTTTGCAAAAGAAAGTAATTTTTTTTTATCAGTAGTTCTCAATCTTTTTGAATCCTTGGTCTCCCATTGTCCACCATGTGGTTAATAGGATTCCTTTGGTAAGACAGTTTTCAAAACTTTTCTTATTTTACAGTGTCCATAGATATTTTAGTATCTGGATATTTTTCAGGTGTCCCTCTCTTTTAAACAATGAATTCACATGAATTTCCAGTCGTTGTAATTTAAAGGATAAGTTTAGAGGATAAGGACATATTTTATTTTACAAGGATAAATTATTTTAGTTGGCATATCTACATAGTAATTTTTTTTTCCAAGATTTGTTATCACAACATTTTTTCTTTTGTCAAATCAACTTAAATAATTTATTTAGTTCAGATAACTTATTATTTTGAGTTTCTGATGATTAAATCAATCTCCTTCATTGTATTAACTCACCTTTTCCAGTTCAATCAACTTAAAATTTTAAGGCAACGAGGTTACTTACTTTTAAAGTTATTTTGCCAACAATATTTTTATATGTTTATTTATTTGTTTGATTATATCCAGTTTTTACAAGACCATGGTAATCCTGTTTCTAAATTTCCGGTGGGCCCCCTAGAGGGCTCCAGCCCCCCAGTTTAAGAACCATTAAAACAAATGCTCAATTTTTGTTTCAATCTCATTTTACTGAAAAATTGTGACCAAACTCTGTATTCATGCTGAAAGTTTTTTCTTCTTACCTCAAATTCATTCAGACTTGTTAAAATGTGCCAAAGACCAATACAGATCCCTCACCTTTAACATTGACTCCATATAATTCACTGTATTCAACTGCTCCAATGACATCGATGAGAGATGCCGTGTGAAAAACAAGAACTGCTCCTTTACAGGCTCTTCTGAGCAGATCACGGTCCCTGATATCCCCCTCAAAAACATTCACTTTAGTCTCCCCCCTGCAATCTGAGGACACAGACAGAGAAACAAATCAAAGCCAGAGAGTTGATTTTATCTATTTCTCTATTTTTCATTTGTTGCTTATAAAGAGACGAGAAAGTAAAAAAAGACAGAAATGTCATGTGAAAGGTTTACATTACATATGTGTATATTATCTCTTTTCCTAATAGCATCAAGCAAAGTGCAAAACAGGAAGAAATATTTCAACTTAAGAGACACCACAAAACCAGTGAATATAAATAGAGACCAACAGATTTCACAAAAAGGAGAAATACAAGAGGGATTTTCTATTTTAGATGAGAATACACTGTAATGGAAGTATCCACTTACAATGGCGCCACCAGGGGGTGGCCAGGGGTGGCCATGGCCACCCCTGGCCGACTCCTGGCCACCCCATTGGCCACCCCAATGGCCAGTATTAATTTTTGTAGCATCAGTTATGCATTTTATAAATAAGTCAAAAATATTCTTAAGTAAAAGAAGACGGGGAATTATGTGTCGTGACGTGCTTTTTAAGTGCCAAATGGTATACTGTTACAGCAGCTTTTAGGTGTGTTTTTGCCACGTTTGGACAGGATGCAAACAGCGCGCTTTTCGGCGCCTCCCGCTTTTTTCACGTCAGTTTGGGTGACAAAGTCATCTGAAGTCATTCCATAGCTTAATGTGAGGGACAGAAGTATATTTACATCATTAAAGTATAAACTCGTTTTCCCTCCTCTGCGACTGTCATCATTCTCCATTCATATTCAAACAGCACGCGCGCCTCTTGGATGCACGGTAAAACTCTCTCCAATATGATATATTGTCATTTTAAATGCATGATCTGTAGATAAAAGTCTGTATATTCGCATAAAATTACTTTATTTTCTTGGAGTTTGTTGCTGTTTTTAAGCGACTCACTACCGTGTTCTGTTAGATCACACATACATATCACAAGGATTATGAATCGGCATCAAACGCACAATAACTGTGAAACAAAGGAACAAATCGCACTTGGATTTGTGCGCTCAACATTTTTTCGATTTGTGACATGAGCTTTTAAATGCGATGTTTTTCATGTAATCATGCAAGAACGGGCTCAATCATGGGTTTGCGCACTGAAATATTATTAAAAGCCAATATATTTTGTTATACCTAGCCTGCTCAATACATTTTAAATAAGCATAATTTAATTGTATATAATTTATTTGTAGTTTAGGCTATGCACTTCTGAATTCTTGACATTAATATATAAATATAAAATTGTGAGATGATTGCCTGATTGAATTTTAAAAGAGAACTAATAGTAATTTGTTTTTATTAACATATTTTATAAAATTACTGTGCAGATTTTTTCAAGAATTACTTTTTGCTGCTGATGTATACACTCATTAAGTGTATTAAAAATTCATAATACATTTAAACTAATAATACATGCAAACTAATAACTTAAAAATGATTAAATTCATCACAATTATGTAAGTATCTGGAAATTTGCTGTGGGGCAAGGACCCTTATATATCATATAATATATATCATTATATACAATGTAATATATATTAGTTGGGCCCTACTAATATCATTAGTAACATTAAATATTACACAATAAACCAAAGTATATCAGTAGGAGTTTCCTTAAGTCTTTCTGATAGTTTTCTACAGGCTGGTTTATTACAACAGTAGAAAACAATTCTGAAATTATGGTTTATACTGTAGTTTTGGTGTGCCACCCCAAGATTTTAACTGGCCCCATCTGGCCACCCCTACGAAAAATTTCTGGAGGCGCCACTGTCCACTTACCATCAAGAGACTGTATTAGCTCAGATCGGATGTTTCTATCCAGCAGTCGGATCTCAGCCAGCTTCTCTTTCAGCAACAGTCTGATCAGGGTTTCTCCCAAAAACCCGCAGGCTCCTGTCACCACACACACTTCTCCTGACAGAGCCATGGCAACTTCCACCAGCACCACTTCACTCCTTGTTATGCTGCTATATATGCCACTATAGAACCGTACTAGAGAGCAGGACTGAAAACCACAGTGACGCGATGAGACCTCGGAGATGGTGGGGCAGACTGGGAGGGTGGTGTGTTTTTAAGCCGTATCTGCCAAGGACAGCCTCAATGCCACAGGCTGGGGAGAGGATTTGAGAAACAATGTGAAGGTGCAAGTCAGCAGCCTTTACATGTTATCAAATGAGAGATACATCATGGGATCTTAGGGGTTTGAAAACAGTTTTACAAGTTTCATTTTCGCTCATTTTTCTTAATTGTATTTTTAGCATATTTGTATTGTCTCAGTTTTGTGCAAAATAAAAGTAAAATATAGACACACAAAACCTTTAGGAAATGGCTATAATATAATGTAATATATTGTAGTGGAAATATTTAATACGAATACAACCTACTTAATCTGACTTTTTTTTAACACAGACAATTTAAACAACTTCCAGTTGTTAAAAATAATAACTACAATAGCAATTCCCTGAATACTTACAAATTATACTTCCCTGAAGTCAGGTGATGGCGTCCTGTCAAGAAGTAGTTTAGTACTTCTATTACTACCTCAATCACACATAGATGTTGACTAATCTATGACCGTTAGTTCTACTGTGTTGTATAAATGACCTTTGACCTGAGCATCCTTAGTCTGCATTTCTCTGTACTTTAATGTTGTAAATACCCATTACATAAAATATTTATATATATTGCCTTTATGCGGATATGAGAGAGGGAACATTCAGTTTCGACTGTGTAGTCTTTCAATCATTTTTGAAAGACTGTAATCTTTCAATAACAATTATCACATTTACTCAAGGTATGACTTTGGGATAATTGTTCTTTGGCTCTGTCTAATGACTTTTTCAAAACATGAAATCATTATACAATGTCGAAAACAGTTGTGTTGATCAATATTTTTGTGGAAAATGTAATGCTTTTTTCAGGATTCTTTGAAGAATAGAAACAGAATTGCATGATTACATGTGACATGTCTTTACTGTCACATTTGATCAATTTAATGGATCCTTTCTGAATAGAAGTATTAGTAAAATAAATAAATAAAAACCCTTACTGACCCTCAACTATATAATTTGTAACAGTCACCAGCTGAAGTGCCCTTTATCACTATCATCATTTTATCATTATCAGTTTCACCTGTGTCTCATTATCTTGTTTATTCACCCCATATAAGTCTGGTTTTCTCATTCATTATCTGCAAAGTCTTGTTTAGTGTTACATTGCAATTCCGAGCATTCTCCCTGGTTTCATGTCTCTTGGTTTTTGGATTTCTTCCATTTTCTTCCTATTCCATTTATTACTCTTTTGCCCGTGTTCTCTGCCTTCTAGTGTTTGTTATAGACCATTTCACAAGATGCAAACAACACTGGTCCAGAAGCACTTCCTGTTTCAGTTTTTTAACACTACATACAAGCTGGGATAAAATACAACCAACAGAACATTTAAAACTGAATCAAAAAGTTAAACAAACATCTTTAAGATGTTTTCAGTACATGTGAAATAAAGAAAACATTTACAAACTGAAACAGGAAGTGTTTCTGGACCAGCGTTGTTTACATCTTGTGAAATGGTCTATAGTTTGGACTGATTGCCTGATGTTTATGACCATTGCCGGTTATCAACTACGATTGTGGATTAACCTTTCAATAAAACTGCATTTGGATCCTCAACCTTCATGTCTCGGAGGAATATGTGACAGAAGTGTAAACTATACATATTCTCTAGCCATTACTAAAAAGGTAATTAACCCTACTATTCAATTTGAATGCACACTCCAGCTCAGAGACCCCAGTCAATAAAATTAGATTTTGTAACATAATAATGTAATTTAAAAAACAAAAACAAATGTAATGTCACTCGCTTTATTAATGTTTTTTCTACATTTTGTGCAGTGTTGGAGGATTTAATGTATGTAATAATGTAGGATTTTTTGTTATTGTTATTTTGCTTCAGTGTAAATATTAGAAATGTTGTTCTATTAAGATAAATGTATACAAAAAGACACCTAACACAAATTAATTGATTGAAAAAAAGTTTAATTCTGCAAAGCATTTAAAAGTATTTGAAGCAAAAATAAAACTAATTCAGAGATGCAACATTAAGCACTGTGGCCGTCATATGTGTCATCAGTCACTGAAAGAGAGCAGCATTTAAGCACCGTCAAGCACACAGTATGGTACACTAACAGCTTTTTTACAAGCAAATTATTTTCCCTTAATAATCAATCAAACCATTTAATCTGTTTTTGAAAAAGATATTACTAGCAATGTGATGCTAATTTCAGTATCTCACTTGTAAAGCCCAATAGTGATATCAAAACATCTGTTCAGCCTTTGGATGTTGAGAGAGGACACTCTTGTATTTCAGCCTCCTCTGTTGTACCTTTTGGACAATGAACTGTCATAGTGCAGGCCCGTATTCCTCCGAGAGGCTCGAGGACATTGAATACCTTCTCCCACTCATCCTTCTCAGGGTCATAACACTGCACGATGTCCACCATACACCTGCTGTTCCAGGAGTAACCACCCACCACGTAGATACGCTCCTTAAAGACAGCCACCCCAACATCACTCTGACCCCTGGGCATCGGAGCCACCACTGTCCACTGGTCAGAAGCAGGGCTGTAGAACTCACAGCTTAGCACATCATCGTAGTCATTAGTCCCCCGGAAGTGGTTTCCACCCATGACGTAGAGACGGTCGCCCACGGTGCACATGCAGTGCAGACCACGAAGCTCCATCATGTCTGCTCGTCTGCTCCACAAGTTTCTGTCGGGCTCATAGCACAGCAGCTCTTTCTGGAAAGCATCTCTTGTGATCCCACCTGATAGTATAAAAGATGAATGCAACTTAATTAACTTATTTAGATATTAATTTGACTTTCTAGAGGAAGCTTATTTATTTGTGCAGAAACACAAATCAGCAGAAAGGATGTGGTTGAGAGGCTTCTAGAAGTCTTGAGACCAGACCACCACTTGCACAAAACTCAATCCACCACCAATGTCCAACAGTGTGTGTGTGTATACACAACATAGAAAAATTCTGAAAAAGTAATAAAATGCAAAATACAACTCAAATGATGTTGTGTGCAAACGGCAAGATTTTTTTTTTTAACTTTTTGGAGAAAATGACTGACTCTTAGCAGTCTTGATAGGTCTGATTTTATAGTTAGTATTTAATGTAAAAATAATACATTTAAATGAATAATTAAATTCAATTAAATATACTTTTTATTCATTTTATTTACTATTTTATTTATACTTTTTAATTAATATAATTATAATTTTACAAATCTTATTTCAGTTCAAGCTGGGTTTCTACTTTGTTAAATAAGTACACAAACTTTTGAAAAAACTTTGCGTGCTGATGGAAATGACATAAAAGTGACTTTATATTATTCTTTTTATCGTTCCACAACTCAATTACTTTTTTCTCTTAAAATTTTATTGAGATAAATAATTTTTTTTAATAATGTTTGGATGGTATGCAATTCTTCAAGCAGGAACATGCTCATGGTTTCACACAGGCCTGCCATGCCATTTCAGACTGTGGGCTAACCTCAGATGAGTGACCCATTTCAGCTTGACGCAGCTCTGTTTCCTGGTTATCTGTTTCATGTTGCTTTTGATTCTTTTTCTGGGAACTTTGCCATTACGTGAACATTGCAAAGTTGCTAAGAGACCACTAAACAGTATTCTTTCTTAAAAAAAAAAAAGTAATAAAAGAATTCTTGTGCAGTGCACTCATTAGACTCACACTGAGGACTGTGGTGAATTAAGGCCACATATGTTTTGTGAGCCAGATTTAATTAGTTTAAAAAATCTCCCCAAATTATGTAGGGCAGATGTCACCACATTAATGCACCATATAGTTGTCCTTTTCACATTGATCTCACATTTTTGAGCTCCCAGTGTGGATACTCACCTGACACATACATCAGACCTCCATGTACCGTGCCAGCGTGTCCATAATGAGGTTCATGCATCGGTGCAACAAAAGTCCACTCGTTCTTGTTCAAGTTGTAGCACTCCACCGAATCTAATTGACACACAGTTTTCTGTTTTTCCACAGTATTTTAAGCCAGAACAGAACATTTTGTACAGTGTAATTGCCAAAGCATGTCCTTACCAATCTCCCCAGTGGCATTTCTCCCTCCAACAGCATAGAGCTTCCCCTTCAGAGCACTCAGATGGAAGAACGTCCTCTTCTCATTCAGAGAGGCCACCTGCAACCAGCGGTCAAAGCGAGGATCGTATCTGTATGCGCTGTCGACAGCTGTCTTACCCTTGGTGTCATAAGTGCTTTGACCTCCAACAATGTAAAGAAAACCCCCTAGAAGAGCCACTCCGTGCTGGTAACGTGGGACCTCCATAGGTTGGAGGGCCCTCCAGGTGCCTCCGTCTTCCTCATCGTACAGCTTGAGCTCTTTGCTGACAACGAGTTGCTGCCTCATTACACCACCCAGAACCACCAGGTGAGTGTAGTCGGATCGAATCCGGGTGCGTTCCGTCTGCAGCGCCGGCTGGAGGAAGGGAAGCATCTGATAGTTGCTGGCTTCCAGGAGGAGGTTGACGCAGGCCGTGTCCGATCGCATGAACGGCACCACTTCCTCCTTTGCCACGCTTGCGGCTCCTTCTTCCATCTGGTCCTCCTGAGAGATCTGGAGGAGCTCAGCTGGGGACATCAGAGGGAAGCGGATGTGGCGCATCAGGGAGTAAGCAGCAGGACGACGCTCGCTTTGTTTATGGGACAGCCAGGAACGGGCGATGCGGTACAGCTCCATCTCAGAGAACCCCCTCAGAGAGTCGCTGGAGAGGGCGTACGTCATGCTCGCCTCGGACAACTGCAGGAGGCGGCCGCTCTCCATCAACGCGGAGAAGTTCTCGCACACAAACATGTGGACGTGCCTTTGAACGTCTTCCAGAAGAAGATCTCTGGCAATGCGCTCCACTTCCACGCAGTTTTCGATAGTGATCTGCCATGTACAAAACGGGGCTTATTTGAAAACTCGCGTCATGCGTGGATGAATAATTAATGCAAAGGAAAAATGAACTCCGCATCTTAAGTGTTTGTACCTCACTGCTAAGAAGCTGGTTGCAGAAGCTGAGGACAGGAAGCACCTGGAGGAAGCTCGCCGCCTCTAGTGTGTCCTGAAGGGTGCCGAGACTCAGGCTCAGATGAGATGTGTAGATGAACTCGATGATGTTCTTCAGGCCGGTCGTGCTCACGCCATGGAGCTTAATCTCCTTCAGCTCCTGCTCTCTCATGCCTCCTGACACAGCAAAAGAGAGAGGGGATTGATTTGATCAGTGTGAAGTAGAGTGCAAAGAGAAAATACTTTTCCTTGGTAACCGAATTATAAACTACAATGCAGGAAAAATAAATAGACACGTTTGGACAAAATACTACAAATATGAACTTTTTGGTGGATACTTGATAACTTACAAATACACAGTGAATTCTGTGAATGTCAGTTTATGGCTTTTCACTGTAAATCATAAGATGATTTATTCTTTTTTTTTTACTTCCCAAAAATGGTACATTTAGCAATATTTTACTGTTGAGTAACATCATGTTAGATCTATTACATTTTTTCCCGCATGGTTATTGTTACATGTTTTTTTTTTTTTTACAGCTAAAATAGATTTTCTATGTTATGGCTGATCACCAATATACTATTTTGTCTATACACTGTAAAAAATATATATCATCAATAAGTGATGACAACATATGTTTTTACATTACTTTAACTCATTAAAATAAGGAATTTTCTACTTTTTTTTAATAAGTTAAACAACTAATTTTTACAGAAGTTTAATGTAATTTAAAGGAGCAGTTCACTTTAAAATGAAAATTAGCCCATGATTTACTCACCCTCAAGCCATCCTAGGTGTATATAACTTTCTTCTTTCAGATTAATACAATTGTAGTTATATTAATAAACAGCCTGATGCTTCTGGGCTTTATAATGGCAGTGGATTGCAACCATCCGAATCATCAGATTGAGGCTCCAGGGGTTTAATAAAAACCTTCTGAAGCAAAGCCATGAGTTTGAGTAAGAAAAATATCCATATTTAAAACTTTATAAAGTAAACAACTAGCTTCCACCAAAACTCAAGTCTAAACTCGACTCAAGTGTAAAGCGCAACTTATGCAAGTAATGCAACGTAGTCCTGATATTATATGACTATTGCCATGACATACTACACTACTTCATAAGTTGCATTTTATATGCAAGTAGACTGCATGGCCCTTTGCCCGGAAGCTAGAATTTTACTTTGTAGCGTGTTAAATATGAAAAAATTCATATGATTTTTTTTTCTTTTTTTCATTCTTTTATAAAGGATGGATGCATGTTTTTGAGCTTCTAATATAATGGTTGCAATGGTTGCAATCCACTGCCATTATAAAGCTTGGAAGCATCAGTGTGTTTATTAATATAACTCCGACTGTATACAAGCTCTGACTGGCTTGAGGGTAAGTAAATCATAGGCTAATTTTCATTTTGAAGTTAACTACTCCTTTAAGTCGAAATGTTACCTAAACATCCAAGTTTATTGAACTTAAAAAATTGAAAGGCAGTAATTTTCATTTTCAGTGTAAATAAGTAAAAAATGAAAATGATTCATTTATGCATCACAGTGTTATAATGTACAGCATGATGAGGAGTATATTTACTAAAAATTTAATTTGACAGTGTTTAAAATGATTTGTGTTTTTAAAGATTATTTTTAAGTGATTATTAGATGACGTCAAAGGTAATGTAAATATAAACATGGGGAAATGAGCATGACCAAGGAACTATCCAATATCAATCAGTACTATTAAACTAAATAAAACATCTTGACTGATAACCAATATGGTACAAATATAAAGTGGATCATTATTTTTGAGGGATGGAAAACAACATATAAAAACAAAACAACAACTGTAATAAGCTTTGATAAGAGAATATATCCTCCTCTTGTTTGATGAGACTCACCCGTGAACATGGCTTTGAAGTAGTCACTGGCTGAAGCCATGATGACCCTGTGAACTGGGAAAGTTTCACTGCTGTCACCAGGTACCAGAGTCACATCGCAAAGTGTCTCATCACCACGAAAATGATCCAACCCCTGCGACACGGCAAAATCTTCCATTAATAATTTTTTTTTTTTGCAGTGAAAAACACCAGTCTTTGTAAGTACTGCTATTGTATTCCTCTGTTTAAGGAAGTCAACTAGCCCAGTAACAGCCTGTTTTCATAGATGTCCTTTGTCTTACCTTGAGTATGGCAGTGCCATGCTCCGTGCTGTTGAACACTTGTATTTGTGGCCTCGGAGGGGCACTGGGCTTCTGAGACACTGGTTTTGAGGGGATTACAACTGGTTTTGGTGCAGGTTCTGGGGGTTTTGGAGTGGTCTCAGGTGGTCTTGGTGGAACCACCGCTGGGGGCTTGTCTGTTTGAGGAGGGGGTCGTGGCGGCTCCCTCTGCGATCTGCTTCCTATTCGTGAAAGTCTGCGATGCAGTTTTCCTTCCTCCCCACTGTTTCTGAAATAAAATCATTTTTAAAACTTCCACAGTCAGAGGGCTTGCAAAGGTGTGAGAGGTCCTATATGCGATTGTTAGATCGCATGAAAGACCCACATTCCTCATTTCCCCTTGTTGCATATTATTTTATACATAATAAATAATATAAAATGTAGTTGACCATTTTTATTTAATTCATACAGACAGTTCACAAACCAACTGCATTATTTTATTTACTTTATTTGAACCCTTTTCTGATTTCTGTATCATGGGAGGCGTGACCTCAACAAGAAAACATGTTTTAAAAACTATTTTAAGTGATACAACAATAAAGAAATGTATGGAAGTACAAAGTAAATATAAAATTATTCCACCTGTCCTTTAATGACGGCCCATGATGCAATATCTTAAGACAATCAGAACCTACCCCATGTTTTTTGTCTGCTTATTTGCTGTCCACAAAGGATTTCTGGTAGAAAAATTAGAACAAATGGTTAAGTGTTTCACCAGATCTGCAGGACAAATATTTGGATCAAAGTGTCAAAGTTTCAACAGCAAGTTCAGAAAGCAGAAAGAGGAAGTTAGCGCTGCCATCAATGTGCAACAAACACAAAAAAGATCCCGATTACACAGACACGGCCTCATCTTTACGTGCATGTGGAATGAGGGAGTTTCTTTAGTTAAGATTACTTGCAGATAAACTTAAGCAAAATACTTCTAAGTAACAGTACTACTCTTACCCATCATCTTCAAAGCACTGACACACAAATGTAAAGTTCATAAGAGGGGGGAAATTCAGGAAAGATGGACAATATGAAATGAAAGGAGCTTACCGAGATGCTTGGTGCTTTCTCTGGGGGTTTCAAAAGTTTCTTTTCATTATAACACAAAACATCATGCTGTGATCAAATTCAGTCGACACAACTGGGTATGTACAGGCTGTTTACCACAACCTCATTGACTTCCTGTGTCACTTCTCTCTCTCTTTTTAACACACACACCCTTACATGTTATTTCAAAACGTTCTCTCTTCCTCCTTTTGACATGTTACTTATTATAGGCTTCAGTTCATGCCTCTTCGGTTGCATCTGCACTGTGATGATATGTACTCATGAGTTGAACCCATAGCTGGTGTTAAAAGAGGAAGCCCGATAGAAGATTTGGATTTCTTTTATGTGCTGCTTTAGCAGTTTGTTTACTGTATAGTGACTGTAAAAATGGCAAACAAAAAGCTTCATGTTAAAGACACAAGGAAAGAACCAATTACCAATTAAACTACATAGAAATGAATGGTGCCCCAGCTGTACAGCCATTGAATTCGTTTTTTTTAAGAGTGAAAAATCTAGTCTACCTCAAACAAAAAGTATAGGAAGAAACCAGAAAGAGTATAGTATTTATAGTCAGATAAATATTATGATTAAAGAAATTGAATCAACACACACCATTATTACTTTTGAGAATCTCATATTATTTAGTTTTACCACACTGGATATTTCAACCAAACAGTAACTTAATGTCCAATATCCACTCAATACTGATCATAGTCTCACTTCGTAACAAAATCTTCGTAACGGAAACTTTTCCCATTGCACATTAGTTTGTTGCCAGCTACTGAAGACATCGTGAAATCCACAATCATAAAAACACCTTTATTTTCTTTGTGCATTACTTAATTACTTAATTACTGAGTGGAGATTCATCTGGTACTAAAATAATTCACTCTCAGTCAAAATAATGTGGAATTTCTGTAGAGCAGTTCATAATAAACAAAAACTGTATTAAAACAATGCAGACACAGTGAACATTTGCTTTAATGTCATTCTTGTGACTTAAAGCAACAATAGTTTCCTGAATACATTTAGTATTAATAGTGGATAAAGTGGACCTTTGCAGTGCTCTGCTCTCTGTGCTAAAGTAGAAATGACAAGAGTCCCTTTTGCTGTTCAAAGTTTGGAGAACTGAATGAGGTTCCTGTTGATCTCAGCAACATTTCTGCAACCTAGAAGAATAGAAGGCAATTTGAGGTGAAGAGAAATGTCAGACAGCAAAACGTGACCCATTTTTTGTTATGAGACACATGGCACATTGCATTTTACACGGTGGACTGACCTGACAGCGCCATGGATAAACGAAACTCATCCTGTAGTATCTGCAAGACCTCTCTCAATCCTTCCTCCCCCTGTTCAAAACATACCTTATATGAACAATTTATCTGCACCAATTACACACACAAGTATCCCACAATTTGTTAAAGGTAACTTTAGAACAGGCCTAAGCCGACTGGTGCAAATTTTCAAACATCAGAAACACACAAAAAAAAACACTGATTTTCACACAGTTACCTTGTAAGCGAGACCCCAGATTGCTGGTCTGCCAATAAACACACATTTGGCTCCCAAGGCTATGGCCTTCAGCACGTCATTGCCAGTGCGGATCCCTCCATCCATGTAGACCTCGACCCGGCCCTGCACTGTATCCACAATTTCAGGCAGACAATCTATCTATGTGACATGTAAGGTCAGGATGTAAGCGTCTATGATGGGAATCATATTTAAACTACAGACACATTGACAGAGTCCCTTACTGTTGCAGGACCTCCATCCAGTTGTCGGCCCCCATGATTAGACACAATTATTCCCTGGACGCCATGCTCTACAGCCAGCTCTGCATCCTCTTTAGTAAGGATGCCCTTGATGATTATAGGCAGCCGGGTTATAGACTGGAGCCAGCCCACATCCTTCCAGCTGATCGCAGGGTCCAGGGTATTAGCTGGGGTCCCGTACTTCTCCTGGGATTCTGCCTGGTCCTGTACAGAGATCCAGAGGGATTCATACAAACAGACAGTGACAAGACATGCTTGAACACACAATGTTCAGACATTTGAATCCAGCAATATTTCACATTACTTCTCCCCATTATTTCACTGCCTTCCTCTATAGCAAGGAGGAACCCTTGCTAGGTATTACAGTAGGTTTTATGTAAATTAGAAAAGTTCAAAAATTAAACAATAAATAAACAAACAAACAAATTAGTGCTGTCCACATTAACATGAAGTAATTTTTTCCCCAATGTAACATGTTAAAAATATTTAGTATAAAATATTTATCAGCACAGTAGTGTTTTTAATCGTCAATCAAAAAACAATTGTGATTAATCAAATTATTATTTTTTTTAATCATTTGACAGCACTAAAATAAATAATTAGTTCCCCTATACCTGAAACATGCCCTCAAAGTTCTTGACCTTCAGGTGAGGTGGGAGCTTAAACTGGTTGCGTATGTCATTGCGGCGTTTGCCGGTGTAGGGCACGTCCACTGTAAACACCAGAGCTTTGTAGCCAAGTGCCTCCACTCTGTGTATGATCTGCTCCGAGAGCTTACGCTCCCGGTACAAGTACAGCTGGAACCAACGGTACCCGTTAGGAGCTGCTTCTGCGATCTCTTCCACTGAACATGTGGAGTATGTGCTGGTTATGTAACAGGTGTTCACTGCCTCAGAGGCTGGGAATTGAAAGAAGAGCAGAACGGAGAGATAACATGGAAAAGAGTAAAGCTACAGCTTCAGAATCCGTTTCAGTGTCCATCTAGTGGCTAAAGTGTTGCATAACACAGGAATTAGTGCAACAATCACTTCATCACACTCCGTCCTCCTCTCACCTCTAGCAGTGGCTAGTTCTCCCTCATGCCATGCAAGGCAGTGGAAGGCTGTGGGCGCAATTCCCACAGGAAAGCTTATTTCCGTTCCCAGCACAGTGGTCCGAGTGTCATTGATCGACACATCCCGTAAGATCCGTGGCCTGAGGCGGATCCTGAAAGAGATGATATTTTCAAATTGTATGAGATTAGTTACAAGATTGGGGCATAGAGTTGCCTAATAGAGTATGTGTGCATTTAAAAGCAGAATGGTACCGTTTATAAGCCTGCAGGTTGTCATCTCTGGTTGTACATTCATCAGCTCCGGCTTCATAATAGTCCCATGCTAACTTTGAGAGGTGCAGCTTGGCATATTGCTCAAAATCAGTCAAACAGACCATAGTCATTTCTGCACAAACACCTTCCTCGCTTTAAAAAAACAAAACAAAAAAAACAACAACACATTATCATGACATCATCAGTATGTCTACAACTGATATAATTTCAGCATTAATATCACATTATCACTGATGCAGAGTTTACATTCTTACAAAGAGAAGTATGAACATCAATATTAGATATTTACTTTTCTAAGGTCAATGAATAGATATATCAACAAAATGAGTTTCATAGTTTTCATGTGATACTTTTCCAAGGCTAATTTTTTTCTAGTAAATGATTTAAACACATTTAAAAATTTGCTACATTAAAATTCAGACATGGTGTAAGATATTAGTACTCAAAACCACTGAACAAATTACCTTCATTCAAACAAATAATCATAATATCTAAAGTAAATGCATCTTATTTTGAATTTTAAAGTTAAAAAGTCTCATATGCAACATCTCTACCTTAAAAAAAACACAAACAAGAGGTTTGTTTTACCTTTTTCTGGTGGTTTAGACAAAGCGACTGCTCCGGTGCTTTGGCAGTCAAAACACTGATTAACATTAAAGACTGAACCAGGGTGGAATCACAAGTGGGTTGGGATTAACTTTGGAAGTCTAGCTATGAGCCAGAGTTTGGCTTTTTCCAAGACCCTGCATTTCCGTACTGAGGCTTGTTGATTACATAGTGCACTAGAAGGTTTTTTTCACACTAATATTTGTAAGAAAAATCAGTGTTTCAATTAGTCAATATAAACTTATGCACTATTTTTTATGCACTACCACTGAAAGTTAATAATTAAAGCAGGACACCAGATCTGTTCTTGTAGTCCTCAGAAACTCCTGACCTATGGACTTAATCAAGTACTGCTTTTAAAGGACTGAAGCAACCCGATGTTTACTCATCTATCAGTTCATTTAACTCTGACAGAGCCCAAAACAACTCACAAATACTGGAAGAAATTATCAGAAATGTAACTCCAACCCAAGTCCTGGTTATAATGGACTTAAGAGTATCTCACAAAAGTGAGTACACCCCTCACATTTCATCAAACATGTTAGTACGTATATCTTCTCAAGGGACAATACTATAGAAATGAACTTTAGATAGATTTTAGAGTAGTCAATGTGCTGCTTGTATAGCAGTATTATATTTACTGTCCTCTGAAAAAATTGCAGGCTTTCTTGTGTGCCAGCTTCAGAAGAGGCTTTCTTCTGGGACGACGGCCATGCAAACGGACTTGTTTCATTGTGTGGCGTATGGTCTGAGCGCTGACAAGATGACCTTCCGCTTCTGCAACATCTAAAGCAATGCTGGCAGGACTCGTGCGTCTGTTTTTTAAAGCCAGTTTCTGCACCTGATAGACAGCATGAGTACTCAACTTCTTTGATTGACCCTCGCGAGGCCTGTTCCAGGTGGAACCCGTCATGGCAAACCTTTGTATGACCCTGGCCTGTCCTGCAACTCAGTTTCAGGATGTTACCAATCTTCTTATAGCCTTGGCCATTTTTGTGGAGAACAACAATTCTATTTCTCAAATCCTTAGAGAGTTCTTTGCCATGAGGTGCCATGTTGAACATCCAGTGGTCAATATGAGAGAATTGTACTCAAAGCACACATTTGAACAGCTCTATACAAGACAGAAATATGTATGGACCAGTCAGGCAGACAAAAACAAGAAAATGATGAATAGGACATGTGGCTTTGCATCAATAGGGTGAATTCACATTTGTTGCCAGCTATTTTGAGAATAATGGCTGTTTGTGGAGTTATTTTCAGAGGACCGTGAATACTATACAAGCAGCACATTGACTACTCTAAAATAAATGTGTGGGGTGTACTCACTTTCGTGAGATACTGAATATGCATCCAGCCTGTGTGCAATGTAGTTTTGCTAGCAAATGGGGCCTAGGACTGACCCATGGTGTTTATTGTGTTTGCAGTGGGAAATGTGCTGACAATAGAATAAACTCTGGTGCACGTGCACAAGTGTAGCCTCCCTCACAGTTCTCTACATGTGATGCAACCACCAGCTCTGTCCAACTAACCAGGGAGATAGCAAAGTGTGAGTGAGAACATGTCAAATTTTGAGAGGTGGCCAAAACTGATATATTTGTATATACATGTATACCATGTTGTATTATTTCTTCAGATATACAAAGCATCTTTTTAGAAAAAAAAAAGACTAATAATAGAAAATATACACATTCAAAATGAGTGATTGTATGGGGTCAGTAAGATTTGTAAAATAAATTTTACAAAAGATTTCTATTTCAAACAAATGCATTTTTTTTTGTTTTTACTTTCTAAGAATCCTGAAAAAAACATGTTATTAAGCAGCACATCACGTTTTTAACATTGACAATAATAAGAAATGTTTCTTGAGCAGCAAATCAATTGGAATGATTTCCAATAACATTGGAATGATTTCCGAAGGATCATGTGACATTGAAGACTGGAGTAATTATGCTGAAAATTCAGCTTTACCCCTCAAATGAATAGATTACATTTTAAAATATATTAATTCTGATCAAATAAATGCAACCTTGGTGAGAATTATAGCATTAGAATTCTTTGAAAAACATAAAAAAATCTTCTGAACAGCAGTCTATTAATCCCTTAATTTGTGCACACACAGACAAAATTATTAAAAAAAAGTTAATCTAGATGTTTATTAAAAAGAAGTATATGAAACCTTTACTATTCTACTAAAAATGTATACTGTCATTTTAATAATATAAAAAATTAAGTAATTCTGCCCATTTTGCTAGCCTGGATGCCAGCCCGAACTTCGCCCACAACATTTTTTGGTCGGGAAGTTCGGTCTGGACTCGATCCATTGACGAGTAATTATGATCAGACAAGAAACGTTTCAGGCGAATCAAATTGCCAGGGCGGACTTTATACGATGATGGACAGATGATCTGCAAGGACGTAATCATCAAGTTATCAAAGAACGCTTAACTGGTTTCCCTCAAAGATGACTGGAGCTGGAGAATTGAGATGTATGATAGATTCCGCTGTCGCGTCTGTTGTAAAATAAATCGACAGCGCATTAATTTTAATAGACAAACAGAGAACTGCAATCAAGGCATTTGTCGATCGGAAAGATATTTTTGGCGTCCTACATGATTCGGGAAAAGTGTAACTTATCAGCTGGCTCTGACGTTCGCTAAGAAGATGGGACGTAATGAAAAGCCTGTGGTCGTTGTGGTTTCTCCTTTGGTCGCACTCATGGAGATGTAAGTAAAAGAACAACACTCGTTATTTAACTTCTAAGTAAGTTCTGTAGTTGAAAACTGCTCTATACAAAGGAGTTGACTTACTGCGTTGCTCTGATTGGTTGTAGGTCTACCGACTATCCAATTGAGTGCAGAGGTTTTTTTTTCCTGGTTCGGTTAAGACACGCCTCATAATCAAAGCCCTACGGAGCGGTTTCAGACTCATATTCTCACTAGAATATGAGTATAACGAAGTCAGGCTAGCATTTTGCCCTTTGATCTCAAAACTGCCAAGTTATTTATACATTTACCAGTTTGGCATTGTGTACTGCATGTCACCCCTTACAGTGTTTTATTTCACATCACAAGCATTAATGATAGCAGTCATTTCAGCAAGTAATTTTTGCTTAGATTACAAATATACGTATGTCAGAAATTGTCATACGCATGTTCTTGAGGCAGACTGATAGTAGCCAGCCACTATACTGAGTAATGAATAACAAACATAGGCTAGAACCATTATTCAAACATTCAAACACCAGATTCCATTTGCAACAACACGCTAATGCAACTTTTCTGTGTACATCCAGAAAGATTTAATCTTTGGACATTATTTTTTCAAATAAAATTCTGTATTTATTTGTCTTTTGTTGGCAGTCTGTCATTAGAAAGACTTATGCCATTGTACAGCATTACAGCAGCCAGCCAGCAATAACGTCTCCTGTTTCAATCAAACTACACTCTCATACCACATGGTTTTCTGACGCATGGCCTATTTTCCCTTTTTAACTCTCTTATCTAACCATCTTACTATAGGTTGTTCTACATAAAGCCTTTCATTTTGGCATCAGCATCTTAATTCTGTGTTTCCGGCAGATGTGTGGTGCTGCTTAATAATGTCTCTCATGTTGTGTTAGCAAACTGCTAGTCACTTACCCACTATTGTTCAATATGTTCATATTTTTATGACACTCCAGTTCTGCATGTGTATGGCGTTCACAGTCTAGGAAAAAGCATTTAACAACACAAGATTAATTATTTTGTTTAATTATTTTTCTTTAACAAACCTTCATCTTTTGGTCCGTATGTTGTCATAAGCCAGACAACACAGGCCTCTGAACCAGAACAAAAGAACACTAGGTGGCGACAGTAAGCAAATAAAGACATTTGTAGGAAGATTTTGAGCACATAAATCTTGATGCACACAACCCTATCAACGTTTCTGCCTGGGACTACAAGTCTGGTCAAATATAAGTAACATTTTTTTTTTTTTTTCCTTTATGATGATAACCTCATAAAAACAATGTTCTGGAAAAAGTTTACACGAGATAAACGAAAAGTATTAGTTGGCCTATTGCAGTAAAAGTGGCCTAAAATGACTGATTGTTTTTTATTCATGTGACAGCTCTTATCTCACACAATTTAGTACCCTTCCTGTGTGGGTGTTGCTGTATGTCTTACCTTGTCACTGAAGCTCTTGACTTGCTCCTCAGATTTGTACAGTGTTTCCCTGCCTCATGTGTTCATGTACTATAGAACAACAGTGGCTCAACACTCTGCCTCCGGGCTGCTGCCCACACACACACACACACACACACACACACACACACACACACACACACACACACACACACACACACACACACACACACACACACACACACACACACACACACACACACACACACACACACACAAACACTAAGAGTCACTAAGCCCTACAGTCAGCACTAGCCCAGTCCTCGTATTGTACAGGGGTGAAAAAGGGACCAGAAACAACTTTTTGTTTCAATTGTATGTTTGGAGTGACAGGGGGTCACTGGTATTTCATCAACGTGCTTCTGTGTGTTCTGACTTGCTTTTGGAATATTTTTTTTCTGAATCTAGGCGATTAACTACTATATTGTTGGCTCTGTGCTTTCTATGTTCCTAATTTGTAAGTCACTTTGGATTAAACATGTAAATATTTTGGACAATATACTATTTTATCTACAACAATGACGATTTTATGCCACCACTTGATTCAGCTACATTTTCAATAATTAAATAATAATGGAGAAGATACACTAGCATTAAAATGTTTGGGGTCTGTCTTTGTATATATATACATAAATGTATTGCTGGGATGTCAAAGCTTCAGCATCATTACTCCAGTTTTCAGTGTCATGATCCTTCAGAAATCATTATAATATGCTGATTTGAATAATTTCTTATAATTATCAATGTCAAAAACAGTTGTGCTGCTTTCTATTTTTGTAGAAACAGTGATTGTAAGTTTTTAAGGATTATTTGATGGATATGTTTAAAAGAACAGCATTTTATTTGAAATAGAAATCTTTTGGAACACAGTCTTTACTGTCACTTTTGATAAATTTAATGCATGCACGGTGAATAAAAGTATTATTTTCTGTAAATGTTTGAATACAATGTATTATAAAGTGTTACAAAGAAGGCTTTATATAGAGACTATAAAGGTTAAAAGTCTTCATGTTAGAGGAAAGTATCAGTGTCTGAACTCACCATGAACGAAACAGAACTCCACTTAACGCCATTCATGCCATGCATGTGATAAACCTAAAGTCAGGTTCTCCCTCTATTTCATTACCTCTTTATTCCACTTAATTTAAATCAAATTACAATATTGACACATGGTATTTCTGTGAGTGCGCACTTTTATTTTGCCTTTGCATTGAGAGTTTTGAGGGCCAGGCCCTTTGAAAGTAGAAGAGGTTTTACTGAGGTGTTAATTGTGTTAATCCACAGGCTTTGATGTTAATCATATCTTTCCATCTCTTTCTTCTTTCCATCTCAGTTCAACCTCTCTCTCTCTCTCTCTCTTTCTTCCTCCCTCTCTCTTAAATTTGAAGTGAGGTCTGGGTGGAAAACCTTTTTCACATGCTGCTGCTGTCTGTGCCCCTGGGCTACTACACCGTTGGCCCACAACATATGTGTTAGATTGAGCAGAGTTCTCCTGCCCTGGTCACAATCTTTTGTCCTTACCTCAGCGTTCGCTTTCTCAATCTCTCCTTCCATCTCTCTCTAGGTCTAGTGGTTGAGTTCAGTTTGAAGAGTTAAATGTATTTTTTTTCTTCTCTGTCCTTTCGTTTCACATCTTTGTGAATCAAAACAGCGCCTACTGCTCGTCACAATACAGCCTCCAGATCAAAAACACCCTCCTCTGTCTGTCAAACACAGTTTGAGTTCATCACACATGG